ATGGTAGAATGTAGACGTGTCCCAGATACAGGCCTGGAGGTAGACTCTGGGCTACAATATTACACTGAGCTGACTCGCGTTTAATATATCAACGTAACATTTTCATAGTATTTTCTCAGCTTGAAATTCTTTGATCATCATCCGATGCCTGTATATTTCCTGTGTCAAGGTTATACACATAGATAAAGGGTAGGAGATATCCGGAATCAGTGTCTGGCTTGTAGGACAGAAATATGATTGATAGATAGGTAGACAGATAGATAGATAGACAGACAGACAGACAGATAGTTATCAGATAGATAGATATCAGATAGATAGATAGAGAGATAGATAGGATAGATATAGATAGATAGATAGATATCAGATAGATAGATATCAGATAGATAGATAGATATCAGATAGATAGATAGATATTAGATAGATAGATAGATAGATAGATAGATAGATAGACAAATAATGTAGCACTACCCCCTTAGGGATTGCGGATTAATTTGGGTCCCCCTATAGTCCTGCACAACCAGTCCTGCATTTTCCACACAGCTTTCATCCATAGACAGAAATCAGGACTTGAGCCTTGGTTTTGTTACTTTATTGAGGAATTAGAACTTGGATGGGGTAAGGGGTGTATAGAATGCCCAAGGGAACTGAAATCTGAGGACAAACTTCCTGAACTATTCACAGCTTCTCTTCTCGGACACAGTCTCGGTTGGAGTGCTAGCCAGCAGCTCCAGTTGTACTACCTCAGACCCCAGATGAACTCCTCTTCACCCAACAATCTGGAGACTTTCTTATTGAGCAGAGGATCTGGCTCCTGTTTCTTTAAATGGGTAACAGTCACTAGTAGGGGGCTAATCTGGTTTCCCCCCAGAGTGCTTCTTCCCCTATCCGTCCAGGGGGTGTAGGTGTACTCACTCTGATCCTCTTCTGTACCACCTAGCGGAATGGCTGCTACTACCAGACTATCATCTGAGCTGCTCCTTCCCTGCCATACAGGTGGTCCTCTCTCAGGAGGCCAGTGGGTCCTGAGTTTTCCTCCTTTGTAGCTCCAGGCTCACAGGCAGACCCCATTCCACTAGGCCTCCTGACAGCCTTCCACCTCAACTTCACATCTTCCTCTCTCTCTTTCTTACACCCGGCTCTCCTGCTACTGAGCAGGTTCCAACACTTTTAAGGGTGTCCAGCCCCTTGCCATGCCTTCTGTTGGGGATTGGCTAAAATCCCTCAAAAGTGCAGCCAACCACTCCTCAGATCCACTCACTGCCTCCAAGGCCCTCCTTCTCCAAAAGCCTTAGAGCAGGGGGAAATTCCAGAGGGGCTGCCCTGCAGAGTCCCTCAGCCCTTACCAGAATTTGACCCCTCTGACTATCTCACCTGAGCTGCTAATCATCTCCTCTCTGGCCATCAGGGTCTGGCTCCCCTAACTAAACTAGGAGGGTGTGGTGTGATAGATAGATAGATAGAGATATAGATAGATAGATAGTATAGAAAAGAATCCCCTTTAAAATAATCACATTTTGTTGCTTTGCAGCCTGAAATGAAGACAATTACAGTTTTTGTTTCATCCAGCTGTATTTACTTCGTGCAACTTATAATATCCAAGTGTAACATATAACACTGATATGTCAGAAATACATTGAAAATTTCAAAAACAGGATTGCTGAGTTGGAAAAAGCATCATCCCCTCCTGAAGGTGTAGCTAATCACCTTCTCAATAGCATACAAAGCCATTTGATACTGTAATCAGCTGTGGTCATTCTGATTAGGTCAGCATGAATAGAGCTTTCCTGGAGCATTTCAGTCCCTGGTTGTGCAACTGAAGGAAACAATCCTCTATGGGAGGCAAGGCACTGTCAAAAGATCTCCGGGATAAAGTTGTGGACAGGCACAAGTGAGGAGATGGATACAAAATATTTTCAAAGGCTAGAAGCACAGTGAAGTCTATTATTAAGAAGTGGAAGGCATTCGGTACAACACAGACCCTCCCTGGATCAGGACTTCACTCCAAACTGGATGAAACAGCCAGGAGGATACTGGTAAGAGAGGCTACCAAGAGGCCTACAGCAACTCTGAAGCAGTTGCAGAAACTGATGACAAAGAGTGGTCATTGTGTGCGTGTGACAACAATATCACAAATTCTCCACAAATAGGGCTTGTATGGGAGGGTTTCAAGAAGAAAGGCCACATGCAGTCACGACTGAGTTTTCCCAAAATGCACCTTGAAGATTCTGAGGCCACAAGAAAAAAGTTGTTCTGGTCAGAGGAGACTAAAATTTAATGATTTGGCCTCAACACTAAATGATATGTCTGGCGGAAATCCAATCCAGCTCCCCATCCAAATCCCACCATTCCTACAGTAAAGCATGGAGGTGGGAATATCTTGTTATGGGGGGTTTCTCTGCAGAAGGGACTGGAGCACTTGTCAGGATAGAAGGAAAAATGGATGAGGCAACATAGCGTCAAATTCTTGAAGAAAATCTGCTGCCCTCTGCCAGAAAGTTGTCAATGGGAAGAAGGTTTACCTTCCAACATGACAATGACCCAAAGTACACAGCAAAAATAACAACATGGTGGTTGAAGGAGAAAACGTTGAAAGTCCTTGCATGGCCTAATCAGAGCCCAGACGTAAACCCCATTAAAAATCTGTGGAATGACTTGAAGACTGCAGTCCAGAAACGGTCACCATCAAATTTAACTGAACTTGAGCAGTTCTGTAAAGAAGAGCAGGCAAATATTGCAAAGTCTAGATGTGCACAGTTAGTAGAGACATAATACAACAAATTAAAGGCTGGAATTAAATCAAAAGGTGATACAACAAAATACTGACACAAGGGTAGTGATGGGCTGAACACCCCGTGTTTGGTTCGCGGTCGAACATTCCACCCTAATGAATGTTCGACCGCTAACTTCGAACTCAGTTCAAGTCTATGGGACTCAAACTTGTAAATTCAAAAGTGCAAATTTTGAAGGCCGTCTATGCAAGTTATTCGCCATAAAAAGGGTAAAAAGGGTATGGGGACTCGGATACTGCCCTGAGGGACATGAATAGGTGAAAAAAAAAATTTCAAAAAGTACCGTTTTTTAAAGGGGCAGTCATTGTTCGTTGTTTAAAGTAAAAAAGAAAAAATTAAAAACTTCCTTTAAATAAAGGTTTAGGAGTCCAGTTATATGTTTTTTTGGTTTTTTTACAAATTAGAAAGATAACTTAACACCACATTTCAGGGTTGTAAGGTTCATACATTAGCTGAATAAAGGAAAACATGTTTGTAGTCCAAATCAGTAGAGAAGCCAAGTGGGACAACCATTGCTTCCATCTTAGATACAATATTGTGAGTGAGCACAGCTTCCCTAGGACAGGAAGCGTGTTACTGGCAGGATCTCAAGGTAAAAAATAAAGAAAATAATATACTTAAAAAAAGAAAACTATAGTAGCAAAAAAATCTAGGGATGGATAAGCTGGGATATATTACTTTTTTGTTTTACACGTGTGGGTAACCCTTAAAGTGGAATTTCTGCTTAACTATAACTATTCTTAAAAAGTCCCCTCCCCCCTCCTGCTATCTATCCTTCCTTTATTAAAAAAAGATCTGTATATTTACTTCTTTGCAGCCCTGGTCACAGTCACATGCAGGGGCGGACTGACAACTCATGGGGCCCCCGGGCAATAGGGGATCATGGGGCCCCTGTGTCCTTGCCCAAACTCCAAAAAGTCTATGAAAAAGGTACCAGGGGCATCTCATGGGGCCCCCTACTGACACCGGGCCCTCAGGCAGTGCCCGAGTTTCCAAATGGTCAGTCCGCCCCTGGTCACATGATCCCACAGCTCCAGCAACCCTGCATCAGTGAGCGGCTGGCAGCAGGGGAAAGGAGGGAGCGCCGACTATGGCTGGGCTATAGGAGCAGGGGCTGACTGACCATTCGGAAACTCGGGCACTGCCCGAGGGCCGGGGTCAGTAAGGGGCCCCATGAGATGCCCCTGGTACCTTTCATAGGTTTTTTTTGGGTGTGGTTTGCGTGTGGGTGAGCACACAGGGACCCCATGATCCCCTATTGCCTGGGGGCCCCATGAGTTGTCAGTCCGCCCCTGTATAGGAGCCTATGGGTGACATCACCACTCCTGGAATTCACAGCCATTGTTGAGTGCTCTCTCCCAGTCACTTGGCCTGGGTGGGCAGAATAGGTAGCAGGAGGGATATAGGGGAAGGTTTAAGAACAATTATGGTTACCCACATAGAAGAAAAATATATTTTAAATATATTTTAAAAATATTCTTCCCAAATATATTGATAGATATATTTGAAATACTACAATTTTGGCTGTATTCAATATATTTAAGAAAAAAAAATATATATATAGATATATATATATATACATATACACACACACACACTGTGTATACATATATATATTACAAAATGTATGAAAAATAATTTTAAAAATACATTTTCAAATATACTGTATGTCTTTAAAATACATTTAATTTAAATTTTTGGAGTGCATTTACAAATATATGTTAAAATTACTTTTTTATATGTGTAAAAAAATCTGAAGAATATATTTAAAAAATATATATTTAAAAAAAAAATATATTTTCGTATGTTTTTTGGAATATATATAAAAAATGCATTTCAACATACAATATATATATATATATATATATATATATATATATATATATATATATATATAAATACATTTTGAAATATATCGAATACGGCCAAAATTTTAGCATTTCAAATATATGTCAATATATTTGGAAAGAATAGTTTTAAAATATATTTAAAATATATTTTTCTTCCATGTGGGTAGGCAGGAATACCACTGTAAGTGCAGCCTTTTGTCCAATATAAACAAGAATTTTGGGTTAAAGGAACCCATGGGGAAATGTGGGGTGTAGATAAGCTTTAATCAGCCAGTTGCATACACTGTCCACACATCTCTGCATTGTAGCAGAACTAACTGTAATATAATAGAATGTTGATATTTTCAATTTCATGTTGCAGGGACCACTTCATTGCATGTCCAGCAGTCAGAATGGCCGACCACTGGTCCAATAACTCCGAAGGTCATGTCTTCATGTATTACGTTCCTGAGACTTACTCACAGAGCAGGTGAGAACACACAGATAATAGATGGATACACATACAATATTATTATTATTATACAGGATTTATATATTATTATTATTATACAGGATTTATATATTATTATTATTATACAGGATTTATATATTATTATTATTATTATTATAGAGGATTTTATTATTATACAGGATTTATATATTATTATTATTATACAGGATTTATATATTATTATTATTATACAGGATTTATATATTATTATTATTATACAGGATTTATATATTATTATTATTATACAGGATTTATATAGCACCAACAGTTTGCGCAGCACTTTACAATATAAAGGAGACAGTACAATTACAATACATTTCAGTACAGAAGGAATATGAGGGCTCAGCTCGTGGAGCTTACAATCTAAAGCATGCTATAAAATCCTGCCCACTAAAATTTTTTTTTCTCTCCCTTTCATACTTAGACCAGGCCAAGCATAAAAGGACAATGTAAAAATGTATGCACATTATACTAAATACACTTCTAAAAAACATTTTTATTGCTCAAATCACAAGCCTTCCTTTTCACATGTAGGAAGCATAGACGGAACATGTGTTTAAATCCGAACAAACGTTGCATGTAGACGCAGTTATTGGAAGAACAGACTTTGTATGTTTCTTCTGCCAATAAGACCATTTTTCCTTTCTTCTAGTAATGTTTTAATGAATAGCATTGCCTGTGTCACATATTATATGTAGTGTACACTCTTGTCTTCTGGAAGAAGGGTGAAGCCTAGTACACGGATGGTGCAGGTCCATCTAAATCCACAGTGTCAAATTGGTGGCCCTCCAGCTGTTTCCAAACTACAAGTCCCATCAGGCATTGCAAGACTGACAGTTACAAGCATGACTCCCAAAGGCAGAGGCATGATGGGATTTGTAGTTTTGCAACAGCTGGAGGGCCGCCAGTTTGACACCGCTGATTCTAGAATCATAGCAGGGGAAAGAACAGAGCATGCAGCCTAAATATTTAAGGGACAGTGTGACCAGTAGGTACCTGGAAAGCCTTTAAATAGTCTGAGGGCTGAGGAGCACGGTGCAGTGTTTCTGGATCCAGTCCTGCTGGAGGAGTCCCCTGTGTAGGAGCTCTGCACCGTGCAGGATTTTAGAAGTAGCCTTTAGGAAGACACTAAGACACCAGCTAACCCTAGCTGAGGTCCAATTTGCAAGTCTGAATCGGGGGGATAAAGTCAGGTCTGGAGAAGCTCACTGAAGAGAACCAGGAGGAAGTTGGTGGAATTGAGTCCAGCTGTCCATTCGTGGTGTGAGTCTACATCTTCCTCACTTGAGTTTTGCAACAGCTGGAGGGCCGCCAGTTTGACACCCTGATTCTAGAATCATAGCAGGGGAAAGAACAGAGCATGCAGCCTGAATATTTAAGGGACAGTGTGACCAGTAGGTGCCTGGAGAGCCTTTAAATAGTCTGAGGGCTGAGGAGCACGGTGCAGTGTTTCTGGATCCAGTCCTGCTGGAGGAGACCCCTGTGTAGGAGCTCTGCATCGGTGCAGGATTTTAGAAGTAGCCTTTAGGAAGACACTAAGACACCAGCTAAGCCTAGCTGAGGTCCAATTTGCAAGTCTGAATCGGGGGATCAAGTCAGGTCTGGAGAAGCTCACTGGAGAGAACCAGAAGGAAGTTGGTGGAAAAAAGTCCAGCTGTCAATTCGTGGTGTGAGTCTACATCTTCCTCACTTGAGTTTCACATTAGCTGGAGGGCCGCCAGTTTGACACCCTGATTCTAGAATCATAGCAAAGTAAAGAACAGAGCATGCAGCCTGAATATTTATGGGATGGTGTGACCAGTAGGTTCCTGGAGAGCTTTTAAATAGTCTGAGGCCTGAGCAGCAGGGTGCAGTGTTTCTGGGTCCAGTCCTGCTGGAGGAGAACCTTGTGTAGGAGCTCTGCACCGATACAGGATTTTAGAAGTAGCCTTTAGGAAGACACTAAGGCCCCAGATAACCCTAGCTGAGGTCCAATTTACAAGTCTGAATTGGGGATCAAGTCAGGTCTGGAGAAGCTCACTGGAGAGAACCAGAAGGAAGTTGGTGGAAAAGAGTCCAGCTGTCAATTCGTGGTGTGAGTCTACATCTTCCTCACTTGAGTTTTGCAACAGCTGGAGGGCCGCCAATTTGACACCCCTGAAAATGTATAGGAGTTGCTTCATCACATAGGCGAAAGTTCCAGTGGTGGGAAAAAGGCATGGAATGGCAAGGTTGATCATGGAGCTGTCATCAAGTGGTCCCACCGCACCCCCAGCTCTCAGTTTCACTTTTTCTTTTGTTTAGCCAGTGGGTTCGAGTATTTAGCTGTTTGCCTGGAGTTCAGCTTCAACAATGTATTAATAAACCCAGAGCTCTATTCAAATGAATGTGCCTTTTTATATCTGTCTGGTGTTCAGTTCCAAAAAGACAAAGACACATATTAGAATGCTGCAATTTGGACAGAAGTCCTTTTTTTCCTCTCCTTTTTTGTAAAGCACATATAACAAAGCAGCGTACCCTGCCTTGTCAATGTGTTTAGATTACAGGATCTTCCAAAGAACACATTTCTGTTTCTTTTGGCGAGATATTAAATTCCATCCAGTGACAGCTGAAAGGAGACATTATAAATATTACATGTCTCTGCTGGCTCAGCATCACAGCCACACTTTTATCAGTGTACAAAGGATCCTTGTCAGAGTTAAAGGGACACTCCACTCGAGCTGGACCATTCAGGGTTGGTTCATATCATGAATCGCACAGGAAAACTGGGCAATTCACATGCGATCCCAGTGCAATTCAATTTCATCCTATGCGTTTTAATACGCCGTTTTTCCTGTTGGTGAAGAAAATGAAAAATAATGATGCTAGGGTCCATTTTTGTCACAAGAAAGGGGGCTCCAATAATCACCCCAGGAACCATTTAAATCCCATTGCACATTTCCTGGCATGCAGTTCACCAAATGATAACATTTTGCAGAAATTTCCAGATTTTGCCCCAAATTTTGGGGTCATGGAAACTCTCGGTTTTTGCTTACCTCTAATAACTAGTATATGTTCTCTTTCACTTGGAGAGACCTATTCACACAATTCCAGTGCAGTGCCTTGGCACCCCAATGCACTAAGCCAACACAGCTCCAATTCACATGTGTTGCAGCTACCGTGCATTGTGGTGAGATACATTGCTAAAAATAGTGTATTTCCTATTTTTGGATGTTTCCAAGCATTACTAGCTCATTAATTTGAATGGACTGCCATAATACAATGCGCATTAATGCATGAAAACATGTGTTAATGCACATGTTATCAGGATGTACCAGGATGCCAAGGTCCAAATGGACCCTTGATTCACCCTCCACCACCCCTTTGTAGTTCACAGTAATCCTCACATAGAGAGACAAGAGATGCCAATTGGAGTTTGATAGAGGTTGCACACAGAATGAGAAGGAAAACTCTATAGTCCGTTATAAAACAGTGGTTTGCAACCAGGGCCCAATAAATTCTTCCAAAACCTTCCTTGTTCCAACAGTTCCCAGAAAAAAATGATATGATATACTCACACAAAAAAAGTATGGGAATGCAAAATAGGATTTGGCTGGGTGTCACTGTTGGGGGTGGAGTTCGGGGACTCTACATCAGACTTGGTGGCCCTGTAAGGAACAAGGTTTCTAGAAGGAGCTGGGGGAAACTGTGGGGAATAGGGTGTCTAGAGCAGAATGAGGGTCTTTCCAGAAGGCTGTGGATTTGACAGGGATGCTGTAGGAGACTTGGTTCTACAGGAGCTGGGGGGGGGGGGTACTGGGGGAGATTGGGAGAATGTTGGAGATTGGGTGCACAATGGGGGGAGCTGGAGGCTTTGCAGTAGGATGGATGGCACTGCAGGGGTGGGGTGGTGCTGTGAAAGGTTGAGGGATGCTGTGGTCCACTGTGGAAGTTTGGGGAGCATTATAGGAGCTGCAAGGCACTTCAGGAGGTTGGGGGGAAATGTGGGACAATGTTGGAGGTTGGGGGCACTATGGAGTGTCTAGAGGCTTGCACTAGGCTGGGGGGCACCGCATGGGGCTGGGTGGCACCATTTGAGGTTGGGGCACACTGTGGGGGTTGAGGGGCACTGCAGTCAACTTTAGAATGTTGGGGGCATTATTTAACTAGTTGCCGACCGCAGATAGCCGAATGACGGCTGCACTGCGGCCGGCCAGTTCTGGGTGGACGTCATATGACGTCCTCCCAGAACGCGCTCTCCTGGGGCGCGCACCCGGCGATCTCCATGATCGCTGTGTCCTACGTACACAGCTGATCACGTGATGTGGTAAAAGGCCAATCACAGCGGCCTTTTACCACGTGATCAGTGGTGTCCAATGACACGCTGATCAGAGGGAAATACAAGTGCCGGTTCTCGGCTGCACTTTCCTCACGCTGTCAGATCAGTGCCCTGATGATCGGTGCCCAGCAGTGCCACCCGCAAGTTCCACCCACCTGTTCCCAGCAGTGTGCGCCCACTAGCTCTGCCCACCTGTGCCCAGGAGATCACCCACCTGTGCCCAGCAGTGCACCCACCTGTGCCCAGCAGTGCACCCACCTGTGCCACTCTGCAGTGTCACAAACCTGTGCCCAGAAGTGCCACCTACCTGTGCCCAGCAGTGCCACCCACCAGTGCCACCCACCTGTGCTGCCCACCAGTGCCACCCACCTGTGCCCACCCACCAGTGCTGCCCACCAGTGCCACCCACCAGTGCAGCCCAGCAGTGCCGCCAGTCAGTGCCACCAGTCAGTGCCCAGGGGGGTTGTGCCGCCAGTCAGTGCCCAGCAGTGATGCCAGTCAGTGCCGTCTATCAGTACCCATCATCAGTGTCACCTATCAGTGCCGCCTATCAGTGCTGCATATTAGTGCCGCCTATCCATGACACCTCATTAGTGCTGTCTATCAGTGCCGCCTATCCGTGACACTTCATTAGTGCCGTCTATCAGTGCCCTTTAGTGCTGCCTATCAGTGCCCATCAGTG